GCTATTTGCCCATAACTTCTAATCATCCAGCTAAAGCGATCTTCTAGATGTGGCTTTAGAGTCAATGGTTTATGACTTTATGTGTGTTTTCCAGCATGGATGGGGTGTCTCTGAACATTTGGTGCAAGTTAAGTCAGTTTGATCCTTGTTTAATACTGCTCCTAATGTGGTTTTGCACGACCCTGTTGGTTACATTAGAGGGGTGGTGGGAAATCGTAGTCATTTGTGTCGTTGTGTGTGCTTTTATCCAATTTAATTTAGTTTTCACTCTCGATTTAGAATTGTTTAATGTGTATATATTATTGTACTCGGCTTATTACAATGTTACAGTAGAAGTTTTACTAGTGACACTCAGAATTGTACTCACTGTTTACATCTAGAAGTTAGGTCAGCTTTGGCTCGACTTTTGGATGGTTCAAAATGTGTCTCTACTAAGGTTATTTTGTTACTGCTTTGCTTTGATTTAGACCCTCTATGATCCGGTGGTACCATATTTGATGAAAACAATGAATTTTATTGGCTCAATTGACACCAAATTGTTATGTTAGAAAAGTATTTGTTAAAGTATCTCTCCTAGATACTTGCCATTTGAGCCTTGATCATATATCTAAATGCGCTATACCCTTTTATACTTAATAGTGAAACTAATTTGTTTGTGATTCGTGATAATTTCTGTTTGATCCATATTTTTCATCTGCATGACTTCATCAATGCTTGTTCTCTCTTTTATATTATGTTCTTATCTTCATATCTTGATTAAATAGGAATACAATGTTCGTGCGAGCTCAGCCAGCGAAAAGAATTACTTCATAGGAAGATTTGTGACTGGTTTACCGAGTTTCTAAAAAGAAAAATGACAACAAGTGGTCTCTCCAGAAAGAAGGATTACAAGGACGCCAAATCACAGATACCCTATGGGTATATATTTACTTCCTAAGCATAAACATATATTGCTTCTATTTTTCTTGTATTCTGCCTGGCTTTATTGTCAAAAATGCTGCTTGGGTTGTGTAGGAGAAATTTAAAAATAAACCATGGCTTTTGGAAGATGAAACTGGACAATTTCATTATCAGGGAGTTCTTGAGGGTGCACAAACAGCAACATACTACCTTCTAATGTTACAGGGGAAAGAGTTTGTTGCAATCCCTGCTGGATCATGGTATGCACAAACTCTTCCTTTTTTTACTTAATGAACTTGATGCATACATGACTTGATCCAGATAAATATATAAGGGTATTTCTTTTTGAGTTAATGCATACAATAGCTCTTACCGGGTTAAGTACAGGGCTGGTGTCACTTTATGCATTAAGACCTTCATTTTTTCCTCCCTACCTTTCTACCAAACCCTTTCCCCCTCTTTTTTGCTCTTTATATTGATGGTATGTTTGTTCTTTTTTTATTCTTTTAGATATGTGAGTTTGAGAAAAAATATTGAGAGAAATGAATAGTTATTTACAATTTAAGTTGTAACAGCTATCAAATAAAGTAAATAATCATTTGCTATTCTGCATTGCCTCTAAACAGAAGGGTAAACAAAAACAACAATACCCAAATCCCATATGAAACATGAGCCCTTAATGGAGGATAAAAGTAAGAATGCAAATACTATACGAAAAGCACAAATAGATAAAAAAAAAAAAAAAAAAAAAAGATACTAGGAACTATAGTATTCCACTACCCTGATTTTAAGCCTAAACAGAAGGGTAAAAGGGTCATTTATTCACATTTAGAGATTCCATTCGATTAAAAATGAAACAGATATTGTGTATACAGACATCATTTATCCATTTTTATACATACAGCACTTGATGAAAAAAAACATGCCCTTAGTGATATGCAAGAAACACTTGCTATTATTGCATTTGGTGTTTAGGTACAACTTCAACAAAGTTGCACAATACAAGCAACTTACACTTGAGGAAGCAGAAGAAAAGATAAAAAACAGAAGGAAAACTGCAGATGGGTATGAAAGATGGATGATGAAAGCTGCAAACAACGGGGCGGCTGCTTTTGGTGAAGTCGAAAGGCCTGATGACAAGGAAGGTGGTGGTGGTGGTGGAGGTGGTGGCAGAGGGCGTAAAAAGAACAATGCAGATGATGATGAAGGAAATGTGTCAGATAGAGGAGAAGAAGATGAGGATGAAGAGTTTGCAAGGAAAAATAGACTTGGACTTAATAAAAGAGGAGGTGATGATGATGAGGAAGGCCCTAGAGGTGGTGATCTTGATTTTGATGATGATGATATTGAGAAAGGTGATTTTTTTTCTTCCTCTCTTGTTATATTTGGATAATGTATGGAATGGAATGACACATTCCATTACAACTTGACTTTGAATTTTCCATGAGAAATGAAAGTAGGTTGTTAACTTGTTTGTTGTTATATGTGTGGTTTCAGGTGATGACTGGGAGCATGAGGAGATTTTCACAGATGATGATGAAGCAGTTGGTAATGATCCTGAAGAACGTGAAGACTTATTAGCCCCTGAAATCCCTGCCCCTCCAGAAATCAAACAGGTTTGCTTTTAATTTATTTTTCAGCAACAGTTAAAATGAAAATATTGTTTTTTTTTTTTTAAACGTTAAATAATATATATAATATATCCAGGATGAAGATGATGAGGAAGAGAATGAAGAACAGGAAGGAGGACTGAGCCAATCTGGGAAGGAGTTAAAGAAGCTGCTTGGGAAAAACAATGGTGTCAATGATTCGGAACCAGAACAAGATGATGATGATGACGACGATGATGATGTCAGCATCTTCCTTCCTTCATTTATTAATTAATAAAATATGAAGTAAATTACATTTTTGGTCCCTGAGTGTAGCTTGTTTTTGCAATTTGTTCCCCAAAATAGTCGTATTACTTAGAACTGGGACAAAAAGAAGTTGCAAGAATCTAAAATGAGGATCATTTTGAAAGAGAAAACATTTTGGGACGAAAATAGCAAAAAGCTACATTCAAGGACCGAATTGTAATCGACTCTAAAATATATATGGAAAACATTTAATTTTAATTTTTTAAATGAGTAGATTGAAGATGAAAGTTCCCCTGTTCTTGCACCAAAGTCTAACAACGCACCTTCAAAGCGTATGAATTTACCAAAAGAAGAACCGGTTGATAACAGCCCTTCAAAGACGGTTTCCACAGGGTCTGCTCGTGGGACCCCCAATTCGTCCAAGTCATCTAAGGGAAAGAGGAAAAGCAATGACGAGGCTAAGCCTGCAAATGGTTCAAAGAAAGTGAAAACAGAAACTGTAAGTTTTATTTTTTTCAAAGCTCATTTACATTTTTAATCCCCTGGGTATATAGATGATTTTTGCAAATTTATTTTTTGGTTCTTGTAGCCGTTTTTTGCCTTTTTGGTCATTCTTCCAAGTAAAATGACTATTTTTTTGTCCCTGAGCATAGCTGATTTTTGTAATTTTGGTTCAAAATATGTAAGTCATTTGAGTAGATTACATTTTTGGTCCCTGATTATAGCTGATCCCAAAAAGTTTTCTCTTGCAATTTATGTCCTTATTTGTGGTTTTTAGTCCCTGTTCCAAGTAAAATACTATATTTTTTGGAGTGCATTTGCAAAATTCTGCCATACTCCGGGCCAAAAATAGTCATTTTACATGGAGATTGGAATAGGGACAAAAAACGTTGCAAAAACCTCAAGTAAGGACCAAAATTGCAAGATAGAACTTTTTGTGACCAAAACTGAAAAATTAGGTATATGATCAGGGACCAAAAATGTAATTTATTTACTTGAAACAGAGACCAAAAACGTTACAAAAATCTCAAACAAGGACCAAATTTACAAGAGAGAACATTTTGAGACCATTGATTTACTTATTTGGAACAGGGACCAAAATTGCAAGAGATACCCAAAAGTGTAATTTAGTGTTTTGTTAATGTTTTAAAGAGAAGTTAATCTTATTGAATGTTTTCAGGAGGTGAAAGGTGTGAAGGAAGAGCCTGCAAAAAGCAGTGCACCCACAAAAGGTGCATCGGCTTCAAAAGCATCAGCAGCAGCAGCGGGGGCCCCACAAACAGCATCTACTAATACTAATACTGGGCCGGTCACAGAAGATGAAATTAGAGCAGTTTTATTGCACAAGGCACCTGTTACCACACAGGATCTTGTTGCTAAATTTAAATCCAGGCTACGCTCCAAAGAGGTATTGTATTGTTTTCTACTTGAAAAAATACATATATAGATATATATATATTTTTGGTAAAATGAATGAAACGATGAACGTGTGTACACTTGTTGTTTTTGGTTTGGTTGTAGGACAAGAGCGCGTTTGCTGAAATATTGAGGAGGATTTCCAAGATACAGAAGACGAATGGTCCGAGCTATGTGGTGTTGAGGGACAAATGAAAATATGAAATATCAATTCAACTTTCCCTTTATGGATATGACTTTAATTTTGTGTGCTGACAACTGACAACTTTGGTTTTGTGTCTATGTGTACAATAAATCTATTGTAAATTGTCAACGACTCTCTCTCTCTACTCTACTCTAGGGGAATACACAGACATATGATATAACCTAAAGAGTTGTAGGTGTCTGATTATGCATGCATGCCATTTCCTCTACTTTTAAAGCTTTTCCTTGTTTGGTTTCAAATAGCAATTATGTCCACTTGTAGTTGTGTAGATCCGTGGTTGTCGGATTAAGGGTGCATAATTTTTTTTTTTCTTTTGGCTTTGCTTGGATGGAATTTTAGACTCCAAACGTCTTTCTATTACATCTTATATTATTGTAAACAATATATTATGATTGTTAGCAAGACACCTCTCTAGTTCACTTGTGTATGTACCGTGATAATCCTAATCGTAAGAATCACATAAGTTTTCTTCTTACAGTTTTCTCACAACTTAAATTTGTTGTTGTGGTTGTATGTGTGTGTGTGTGTGAATTATAAACCTTACGCATGAAACATGGCGCCCTTCAGATACAAAGAAATGTTGCATGGTGATCATAGAAAATTGGATAACTATTTGAACATTGTAAACAAGTTTTGGATGTGTAGTTGAAAGTTGGAAAGGAGAGGCTATGACAGTAGAGAGCGGTTGTAACACCTGGAGCAAAGTATAGATTGTTTGGAGGGGGGTGGGGTGGAAGCAATCTTAGCATCCATGGTTCATCTTTTAGATAGGAAATCTATGTATTTGGCATGGAAGAGAGATCCTCGATGCATCACAAAGAGCATAAGTAATGACAATTACCTATTATCATTCATGTTAGATCAAGAACTAAGAGATCATTTGAGATTAACAATACATGAAATGATCATGTTATCCACTTATAGAAGAAGGAAAAAAATGTCTTAGTATTACAAGTAAATAATCTAGAATAATGGCAATTGAGTTAGAAATACATTGACATGATTCTGGTGGTGAACTTCTCGAACTAGTAGATGGATGCTTTGTTTGAAACAATATAGAGATTTTTAGAGTTGTAGGCATGATCTAGAGATCGAGATGATTGACCTAATTTGGATGAGGCCGTGTTTGACTTAGGTAGTGGATGATGTAATAGTTTGGATCTTCTAAATTGTCTTTCTTAGTTTATTCCATCGATCGTCGATGAAATTTGGGTTTACGATCTTGATGTTGCAACTTTGATTAGGAGATCTATTATGCCTTAGTTGGAATAATTTGTTATCCATTAAATTTAAAGTTTTGGATGACATGAATCTTGAGGGGTTGATAATAGTTTGTTATCTATTAAATTTAAAGTTTTGGGTGACATATAAATCTTGAGGGGTTGATAACGAAGAAAAACCAAAGGAGAGAGGAGTAATTATCTCAATCTTTTAATAGCAATTTGTAATGGGGGTATCGAAGATGTGGTTTCTATTTGGCGTTAGACTTATGATGATAGAATAGTTATCTTCCTACGTATTCTTTGGCTAAGGTATGGTTATGTTGTTCATATTCTTTCGTGTTCAATATGGGGAAACAATAATTAATGTAATTCTTATTGTCTTATGGTTGATTTGGGCCTTTCAGAAATGTGGATTTCTAGTAGTCATTACAAAAATTTGTTTGTTCTTTTTGTTTGACTGCTCGTTAGTTTCGTTTTAATAAGGGGCAGGAAGAAGCGAGCCTAGAGTAGCAGCGCATCCGATTTTTATGTATTCTTTGCTAGCTTCTGCTAGTTTCTTAATAAAATCTTGTTAAAAAAATGGATGATGCATTACACAAAGTGGGGTGAGATGAGGGTAGGGATGTACAGATAATAATGTGATGGCGAAAAAAATAGACAATTGTGAGGTTCCTCTTGAATGAAACCAGGTTTTGTGTAATTGGTAGCTATAGTTGAGACGTAGTTGATAGTGAAACAATGATTTAAATGTGACTTTTTTCTTTGCACATGTGTTATGCAATGGTGATAATCCCCCAATGTAAGGTGAGGGAATTATGAGAACAAAAATGAAGACAGATCATTTTGGGGGTTAGGGAACAATGAAATATCATGTTAAATTTTCAGGAAATCGATCATTTAGATTACATAATCATGAATGATCGTAGTGCAATCATTAATAGATAGCCTAGATCTTTTATATCATGCTATGTTTTAGAAATCAATAAGAGGATTGGAGCCAAAATGCTCTTAGATATTGATTGATTTAATAAAAATGACGGACGTTATATAAGTACACGATAAATGAATTTATTTAGCACCAACTATCTATGATGACAACATAAATTACGAAGATATATGAAAATAAACACTACATGTTCTATAATTATAGTATATTGTAAATTCTTTATTGTTATTGTTATTGTTATTATTATTGTATTCTTGGAAGAAAATGAGAAATGACAATGGATAATGAAAATAGTTGATATCAGTTTCCTCTAAAAGTGTCTGCGGGTGAATAAAAATAGAAAATATCATTATCTTGAAATGCAACTGTCTTCTTTCTCTTATCACTCGGATTTCTCTTCAATATCGGGATTAACCTCAACTCTTCATTGTCTTTGTTTTCATCTTCATCTCTCTCATCAACCTTCTCTAGTTTACTAGACACATTCTCCAACGAAAAACTAATCATTGGCGTAAAAAACTCTGTGCTTCTAACTTCTGGTGAACTCATGACTTGTAATGACGACGATCTTGTATTCACAACTTGTACCATGGTAGAGTTCATTGCAAGATGATCAAGATTGTTATTTGGTGAGTTCGCAAGCCATTCTTTTAATGTGACACTCCCTCCATCCTCTACTTTCTCTTCTTCTTTGTCATCTCTTTTACGTGTCTTCACGGTTACTTTTTCGGGTGATTTAACTATTGCTATGGTAGAACATGTTGGTTCCTTATGCTTAAAAGGTGGTTGTGATGGTTTCATGCAACAAAGACTTGCACCCATTAATAGGAATATGTAAACTTTTCTTTCTTGGTGATATGGAAGTGAAGTAGCATAAAATCATAAAATCATGAGGGGTTTGGATTTGGATGTGTGTGCTTTGGTAGGGGTTTATAAGAGGTTCCCTTGACGGAGAAAAACTTAAATTTTTTGTTTGTTTACTTATATAAGATTGTAAAGGGTCAATCTTTCTTGCAACTTTTTCTCCTTCAACATTTATTAAAAGAATAATTTTTTATTTAAAAGGCTTTTTCAATCAATGTCCTATTTTTATAATTAGGCCAATTACATCATTCTATTTAAATAACATAAATAAGATCTGTTTATTTTTCTTTTCTCATTAAGTCTTTGAATATGTTTTTACAAACTTATATTAAATTTTGAATAACATACATACATAAATTAATATTTATGACCATCCCATGACAATCGCAACAAATACTAAAATAATAAATAATAAATAATATATAAATAATATCAATGTTTTGATCATAAGTAGAGGCAAAGATTCACAAAGAATTCTCTTCCCTATCGTTACCTCGTTTTCTGTTTTTTATATATTCCTTTGTTTTTTTTGCCTTGACGGGATTTCTTTTGTACAAAATATGAACACAAAAAGACAATAAATAAAATCATATGAACAAATTATTAAGATTTATTTTATAACACTTCTCTTATCGCTTTCCTTAATAAAACCAAAGATAAAGTGGTGATGTTTACAAAGTCCAAAAGTTTAACGGGATCAATTTAGAATCCATGTCACTTGGTTTCATCCAAAGGAATCTGTATTCATCAAACATCAATCTTGGATTTTGCTTTATTGTATGATAGTTGAATCTTCTAGTATATTTATAACTTGTTTAAACTTCTTGGATTGCTTGGAGCCTCAAGTGCCACAATTAGCACGAGCCACAACGAACACAGGACACCCAGGATTGTGTTTATGGTCGTGGTTCGTGGCTAGACAGACCACAATCATCTTCATTGCATGTACTCATATTGATATTATACCTATAATGACATCAAGTCATAAAGTGATCTATGACAAAAAACGAATAACCCACGATAGATTCATATAAATTTTTTGAAAATCATATCATTTTTTTTGAAATGGCTAGTTGAAAAAGAAATAAAAATGAAATTGGATGTCAAAGTATGTTAAAATTAGGTTCTATTTATAAAGAAAAACAAATTATAAATGTTGATACAAATTTTATATAATTTTAAATTGGATAATTACATAGTTTCTGAGATAATAAATATTATTCAAAAAAGAAAACAATCTTCAAATGGATTAACGTGAAGATAATTGAGAAGATATTTAATAAAGTATTCCACAACTAGAAGTTCCTGCCTCAAGGCTCAAACCCATCGGTGGGGTTTTGAGTTTATCAGAATTTTATCCTATTAAAACCGACCTACTATGGAATCATTAACGAATGTCAATAAACGTATTCAACTTTTTTTTTTTCTATGGGAGAACCAAATATATATATAGATTCATGATCATCTTGTTAGATAGAAAAAGTTTGATTCTAATGTAAGTGTGGTAAAAGGAACATGTTGCACACATTTTTATTAAGGTAGTAGTTTTTTTTTTTTTTTTTTTTTGGCAAAAAAAAATCATTTTAATCCTTTATGTATGTTTGTGGAAAGATATTTGGAAAAAAAAAGTTGTTTGTTTTTTAGAATACAAAAGATATAAAAAAAAATCTTTTTGACATCTTTTTCAGAAGACAAACAGAAGAAAATTTTTTTTGATTTTGAAAGACGTTTTCTAAATTGTAACCATAATGTAATATTTCTTTTCTTCCATCACCTCTGCTTTTGCCTTCTCTAACAATGCCTTTGTCACCTTCATTGTCACCCCCATGATCTGTCACCCCCATGATCACCATCACCGCAGACACTATTACCACTATCATTAGTCTTTTTTTATGAAGATTTTAAAAAATAAATAGTTTTATTATAAAGACTAAAGACATGAAACACAACTTTTAGTCCACATTTTATTTCATAGGCGTTAAAAAAGACGGAAGACACTTTATCTCTTCAAAAAAATATTTTAACAGATTCCAATACAATTAGTTGTGCAGAAAAATAAAGTAACACGACCCATTTCAAGGTTAAGCTTGATTGAGAATATTGAGATGATACATCTTGATTTAATCTTAACAATTAGGGGTGAGCATAAGCGGATACCCGGCCAAATTTGCTGGAACCGGAACCGGAACTGGCGTTCCTAGGATTTTGGAACCGGAACCGGTTAAGGCGGTTCCAAAACTTTAAGAACCGGAACCGGAACCGCTTATGGCAGTTTCGGTTCTGGAACCGGCAGTTCTGAAACGGTTCCGATTCTGAAAGCGGGTACCCTATTCCACTGCTCACCCCTATTAACAATGGTAATGTGTTGATATTGGTTTATAAGAATTGTAACTCGGAATGTTTATGTTCAACAAATGATGGCGTTATGAGTTACTGCTCGTTGGTCTGTGGAAAGTTTTTGGGCTAAGGTTGAAGTGGGTTGAGCTTATGGAGTGGGCTGGCTGAGGACTAAAACTGTAAAGATGGAAGCAG